TCACTTCACTGAAGTATTCACATTAAACTTTCCTCAGCTGATGACTGATCTTGCAGTAGGACAATTTTTGTTACAAGAGAAAGATATCTGCGTTAGTCTAATCTAGCTCTGGGAGCTACCGCTTCTTTAGGGTGAAGACAGCAGGAAGAATACACCCTTTTTATTCTTGCAGTTTGTTACCCATGAAAGCAACAAAAAAAAGCAGGACAACATGCAGGAGGGTTTTTTCTGTGCTATGATCACTATCCATGTTAGACTGACAAAAAGGGTACATGATACCCTGGCTACAAGCAGTGAAAACTGGAAGATCAGTTCAACCACAGAGGTACTGAGCTTGTGAGGGGTTTTTGCAGAAGCCATGGTCCACCCCTGGGTGCTCTTCACCAGTACCCAGGGAGAAGAGAGAGATCCAGCCAGGACAAGCAGACTTCTCTTCAGAATAAGAGGGATCACATTTTCCTGATTACCAAGGAAACCATATCAGGTACGTCGAATGGTGTAACCCACTCTGCAACCCAAAGGTGGGGTTCTGCGGTGAGATCCCAGTGACTCACTGTGCTCCAGCTGAGCCACAGCAGGTTTTCTCCTCCAGACCTGAATCAGGAGGACAGGCTAATTCTCCTCAGTGAAGATTATAAAACAGAAGCTGTACTTTTTGTCACTAAGGCAAGCACGAGAAGATGAAGTGCAGAAGAGATACCGCAATAACTGGATCTGCTTCACATAAATTCCCAGTACTTGCCAGCAAAATCAGATGTGGAGTCTTGTCACAGCAATTGTGCCTCTTTGCATTTTTCTAGGTAAGATTTTATACTAATAACACGCAGACAGAGGACAGACTTCTTTGATGCCATTTATCTCGCTCCAAGAACCAACCCATATCTGAGCTTTCTTGCCACACAAGAAGTAAATTATTTAAAGTCAATACTATTTCTTTCACAAATCCACAGAGACATTCCAGGATCAAATGACACCAGTCAAAGAGAATATGCTGTCATCCATCTGTATGATGTCAGATTTGTCCAAGGATATCAAAATGCAGGTGGCTGAAAGACAAGCCTGCTGGAAGGACCTCCTTAGAGGTTTCTGATGAAGACTCTTCTAGTATTTTCAATTGTGGGAGTCCAGAAAGAGGGAGGAGACAGGGCTGTAAAGATGCAATGTAGACAACAGATTATTTCACTTACATCACACCTACCCATGGGGTGCTGAATCTGGAGGCTTCCTTGTACAGTGGTGCTTCTGTCAAACTCAGGACAGAAGTATGGAGAAACAACATGTGCTAGCCAGGTTTTTTCCTGATGGCACAGCTCTCCAAAACAACAAAATCCGAGCTACACAAACAAAGCATTCCTCTGTCATGCATGAACAGAAGGAAATGGATAAAGAATTATCATACTTTCATGTTAACTGTAGGCCCTCAATTACAGATCAAGGGAGAGAAAGGGAAAAAACACCACAAATTATAGTTCTGCAAACAGTTTAAGAACATATAAAATGGCACTGCCACCTTCTCTCTGCTCATACTCATCCACTTATCTTCCGCTCCTTTCTCCTCCCTTATCATCACATGAGCCCATACAAAATAAAAAAACCCAACCCAAACCAAGAAATTGAGCTGGCTGAAAATAATGCTGGAAAAAAACAGAAATAAAAGAGAGGTGTTTTCAGTTGGATCAATTCCCTAGTCCATGTCACCTTACAACCACATGAACACTTCAGCTGGCAAAGATTCAAGAGGAGCTGGATGGGCAGAACAAGCAGTAAGAAGCTGAAAGCAGGACTGCCTCTTTCTGTGGCAATGCCACCTTACAGCGCTGATGGAATTTCTGGCCCAGCTACACTCGGCACTGGAAGTGAAACACTTGCACTAGGACAGTGAGAACCTCCACCCTAGCTAACATCATCTGAGCAAGGGACAGACAAGGCAACTTCAAGCACACGCTTTAGAAGGTCCATTCGGTAGAAAACAGAGCAGAGAACAGAGCCACCAGCATTGTCCAGCTACCACAGTCTAAGGATCTCTAAAATGGAAGGCCAGAGAATTAGACTCTTGTGCAATTATCGGGGAGTCTCTGATTTACTGAGTCAAAGCGACAATGTGGACACCAAATCCCTAAGGAGAGGTGCTGTGGGACTTGTTATGCAGAATATAATTTTGTTTAACTTAAAGCTTAAGAGATCATCTTCATGAATCTGACACTGTAAAACACTACCTTTCCAGACAGTAAGAAACATATAATGAACCAACTGAAGTTCACAGAAGGACTTTGCCAGCATAGCAATGGCAAGTGGAGAAGTGGTCTTTCCACACCCCTAAGTGATGTACCCTCAACAGCAGCACTTTCTACTGAAAAACGGTGCTTCTCAAACTTTTCTTGGACATCAAAGTTTTCAGCTTTTGCTAAGTCACACAAATGCAAAGTAGAAGGCATTTTGTTGTTCAGATAACATTCACATTCTACTTGGGAAGTAGCTGCAGTGTAACTTGGAGACCCTGATGTAATGTTAGACCTCCTTAGATACCATCCAGGAGCAGGGTACATCAGTACCAGGGAAACCTTAAAATACTAAGTTTAATTGCTGTCGCTATGTTATCGAAGTAATTGATAAACAACTAACCAAAAATCCATGGCACAGGATGTCTATCCAAAACACTAGCTGCTGTGTGGAGGAAGATGTGCAAATAGGGGAAAAAACCCTGAATGTGGCATTTAAAGACATACTGTAAACGTACAGTGCTGTTAGTGAATTACATTTGCATGCAGGTTCAACATATGGATAGAGCAATCGATCAACTGGAAACTGTTTAACAGAAGATGACAACACATAGAAATTTATAACACAATATATAAGAAGTTAATTAAATGCACACAAATGCAAAAGTGTGGCTCATATCCGGATCACAAGATAGATGGACTCCGCTGTGCTGTTTGATAATGGGTGCACGGCCTTATGGTTACCATCTAATACACTGCTTGACAGACCACGTTCTCCTGAATTTCAGCAGTTAGGAGTGGGACAAGAGTGGCTAAGCAGGAGTGAGATCCTGGGAAGAGCAGCCAACTGCAGCTGTATGAGTTCCCGAAAAATTAATAGTAATACTTTTCCTCTTGCTAGAACTCCAAAGAGCCTGACACCTCTGAGGTGTCCAGCATCCCAAAGAAATATGAAGACTGCTTTGAGACAGCAAACAATTCGCAACCGTTCTAGCTAGTAGCTGACAGACAGTATTTTTTTCCTGATGTGATGAAAAGCTAAAGCAGTCCATGAAGTGTAACTTTTATTGCTAATACCTACCAAAAATCAAGATTGCAAATCAACTTCTCTGGAGACTTAAGTTTCCAAATATATTGCCAAAATTGCTGGTAAGTAGCTGCTCTAAACATTCAATCCCAAATTTCAATATTGCTACTATTTTCTGTTTTTCTGCGGAGAAGTCCTTAAGCCATCAAATTTTTAAATGCTTGGGGATAATACTTATATTAAGACTATTTGGGAAAAAAAACCCCAAACTTCAGGTGCACCTCCAGTGCCACTTGGTATCTTCACTTTGTTTTCATTTTTTCTGACTGTGTGAAATCTTTAACAGGTAGAATTAACCTGATAGGATGGGGTTAAAATATATCCCATCCAGATCTGCCTGTTTATGGATGGTTGGTATTTGGAAACCTGGATATTTGGAAGTTTCCTGGGCAGAAGCCATCCATCCAGGAAAAACATTACTCGGTTAAAATGCCATTTTAACATCAGAAGAAAAAATAATTGCATTTATCTTGGTAATATTATGCTGCGCTATTGCAGTGTCTGTCCTGCACTGGTGAGCCCCAGCCTGGCCCCAGTATCTTGACAGGTCTCACAAGCGCTGAGCAGAGGGGAGCAATCCCTGCCCTCACCCCGCTGGCTGCCCTCAGGCCGTCATGGCCTGGGACGTGGTTGGGCCTTTTCTGCAAAGCTGCTTTCTCTTCCAGTGAATCCTCCATCATCATTATCCTCCGTCAGTCCATCTCTTGAAGGCTTTTCCCTCCCATCTCCTTTCTTGGTATTACTATTTGATGTCTAACTAATTGAATTGCTGACTTTCCTGTCAACAAACGATGACTTTCCTTCCCAAGTGAATGCCCATACAAGTCTCTAAGGATCGATTTGTACCTGTATTTTTTTCCTTCTCTGAAACAGCGTGTGTACTGCACTATGCACCATGAGGCTGAGAGGAGGAATCGAGCAATGGTAATCGTCTGTCATGAGTCTCTGCAAAGAACATTTACCTGCTCAGCTATGGTGTGGTCAATGCTCCGGACACAGAAGACTTAGGCAGTAAAGCTTGCCAAACATAAATCCCGGCGTGGGCTTCAGTGACTCGAATACAGTCTTCCATATGGCACACTGCTCTTCTGGTTTACTGAGAGGAAGCTAAAGTAGGTTTTTTTCCGCCAATCCTGCACATCTGCACACTAAAGGGGGGATGATGAAGCCTCAACCAGACTGGGCTATGAAGGGAGAAAAACTTGTCCTACCTCTAAAGCAAACTAAGCGTCTCAATGAGATATTTTAGAAGGCTGCCTATTAAAGAGGAAGGGGAAGGAGGAGGCATATCATCTCCAAAATCATATACACCCTTGAACACGGCAAGGAATTAAACAAATTACTGTCCCAAATGATCAGCCTAAATTCTGAACACTGGGAAAGATTACAAATTTCCTCTGTCAAAGCTCTAGAGCAAAAACAGCTAGCATAAATAGTTGTTGCTATATGGAAAAATGAGTTGAAAATCCTTTACTGCCAGTGACTCAACCAGGCTTGCTCTGCCATGCAAGCCACAAACAGGCTGACGTACCCAAAGTAACCGACGTGCAGACTCTAGCACTAAGAACAATAGTTTTCAGAAGAGTGGATCCGCTCTCATAATAAATGACAAAAAGAATCCTATTTCTTTACGACACAAACAAACAAACCCCCTTGTTCCCAATCTTGTAAAGAAAAAAAGTAGTAATTCTCACATTCAGTACTTCCTGCCGTAGAGTCGCGGGCTCCACACAGCTGATTAGACGAAGCAGGAGGTCCATCATGGCTGATGTATCTATATGCTTTAGCACCAGGCTAATGAATTTGTCTTTTTTCCTTAAAAATGCAATCACCTAAAAATAAAAGTGTCATCATCAGTTGCTAGTACAACATACAGACATAGCACACAGAACTTCCTATACTTCGCTTTCTTGTCTCAACCAACCAATCTTGATGCAAAACAGCTGCTAGGTTAAGAAATTCTCTAGAGAACGAGAGAAGAGTATAACATTCTCATTTCAAGGCAGTACGAAATCAAATCTTTTTAGCTATCTCTTCTTTCCTCTATGCCACAAATAAACCCAAGCCCACAGAAATAAGAGCATCAAGAAGCTGGTGAAGCTGAAGAATTTTTCATTCCGCTACGGCGCTCTGACAGCCTTCATTTAAAAAATCAGTTTTGAACTAGAACACACGTATTCCTAAAACACTGTTCAGCTCATGTTTCCAGCACCCCTTTTACAGGCATGAGACAGGCATTGTTTATGTAATGAGGTGATTCTGGGCAATGATCAAAGGATGCATCAATATGCCGTTGTACAAAAAAATAAAGCTTTAGCTGTGGCACAGGAATATCCCAGCTACTGCAGATCTGAAACCAAAACTATGCAAAGGTGTCTAAACGAGCCAGCAACTCCCTCAACTGAGGAATTCGAAGAACTTTTCAAAGCCTACATTTCAACTCCAATCTTAAAGAGAACAGCGAGCCGTTTTTCACCTCTAAGAATACAATGAGACCACACGGGTAGCAATGATACTGCCACACAACACAAACAACGTTAGTGAATTAATTTGTGCTTACGTATCAGGACAAATCTAATCACTACCTGTTCCGTTTTTCTTGCAATGAGATTCCCAATAGTCTTACTGAAGAAACTGGCAAGCAAAGGGTTCAAAGGAGGCTCGTGATCCAAGAAGTCATAGAGGATATTCAGCAGAGTTTCATCCCCTCCTAGCTTGTCATTGATCTGCGGCACATCCGAGGTCAGCAGTTCACAGGCTGTGTTTGGATATCTGGAAGGACAGAACCAGAGCAACTAAAGGTGAAATGAAAACTCTCAAGAAAATCTTCCCGTATTAAAGTTATAAAGTAAAGAGTAGGAGGATCGCCCTTCCTGGAGACAGGGGAAAAAAAACCCCACACGAGAAACAAGGCTCATCTACATTAATGGCGCATTTTAAGGAAACACTATTTCCTGTAGCACATCGTGGTTGGTTGGTTGGTGGGGTTTTTTTACTACTGAATTATGCACCTCAGCTGCCTTCAAACTACAGTTAGTTCTGATTTTTAAAAGTGATGCTTAATCAGTTTCAATACACTTAAAATCTCTTAAAATCTTTTAACATGAATCCATTTGCACAAATAAAATTAAGCCAAAAATAGAAGGTTGACTTGAAGAATGCATATTTTAGCAGGTTTCTGTAACGTTTCTGAAAAATTATTCTTTCCACTACTGGGGCTGAATTAAAAATGAGCATCATATTCCACACACCACCACCCCCCAAAATCAAGAGGACTAGAATTTAGAGACAGAACATGAGATCTAATATAAAGTGAGTATATGCTCACTAGCAAATGAGCATACACTATGTACAAGAGCAATTCATACCCAACCTTTTGAGTTTCAATTTTTCAGTAATGTCTACAATCTTCTGTAAAATTAACTTGTTTTTCAGAAAACATTACTGTGCCTGGTTTAGATAATTTTGCTCACTTAAATCAGAATATGAAATTATATTTGACAGCTAACGAAACACTTTTTTCCCCAACCTTGTTTCTTGCTCTTCCAGGTGGTGCTTTTAGAAATAGGTTACATTTATGATCAGAAAAGGTAATAACGTGTTTAAAATTATGTTTATAATTAGACAAAGTCTCAAATATCAAAGTGCATACATACAAACAAATAATCTAAAGTCAACACAAAAAAACCCGCTTTCTGGGGACTGTTAGTTTTGCTAAAAGACTAAGTTTCTTCAGGTTGAGATTCTACAGTAAAAGCCAACTGTAACGTATAGCTACATTGGCACTGTTCTGCAAACATTTCACTGATTCAGTCTCTCCATTACTCATGTGGTGAAGGAATTAAGCAGGGGATGGGAGGCTGTCTTGCATGCACACTACAACACTGAAGTTCATCTAGCTATTTTTTATTTTTTTAAAACCTCATTTCAGTGTTTCATTGTTAGATTGGTATCTTAATTTCATATTCCAGCTACTGTCCATCTCTAAAAAGGGCTTAAGAGAACTCCTTCGAAAAAGACCTACTCACCATCACACTGAGGTTATTGTAGTCAGAAACAGCAGTTCATTAGTGCTGTGAAATTCAACCTAGCACTGAACTTTAACACTATTTTCAGAGTTTCAATGATATATATGATCCTAGAACCAAAAGGCAGCTGGACTTCATTTTTAAACCATGATTTACTCTTATCCCACGAATTGTTTAAAGACTCTGACAGGGCGTGCTCGAGTGGTTCAGCAGTTCTAAGCACAAAGCAGCAATTCTGAACACCAAAACTCCCACTGAGTGCCAGTTCTTATCCACACTTCCTAAAGTAGTTTTGATTTGTTATCAAGTGATACAGATCAAAAATAAAACCTGTCTTTTACAGTTTGAGCGTTTTCTCTCTGTAAGCAGAGCTAGTTATCTTTTTTTTTCCCCAAAAAAAGCAAAGAGAAAGTTTACTATGTATTTTAATAATGGCCAACTAAATTAATAACAACATTAAAAAACCTACAGAATACTCTTGCTGCAAATGTATGTTCATTCTTTAAGTAGTGCATTCACCTTCCAAATAAAAATTGTGCCATTCCATAAGACACAAACCCAACAGATTTCCCACTTTCAGTAATTATGCAAGGTCTATCACTTTTTGTAACTTAGACACAAGCCAACTCCAAAATCAGTATAAAACACTCCTGCAATAATATGACTGTTTGTACAACACAAAGGGAATACCTTTACTTTTGTAGAACAGTGAAGCTGAAACAATATTTCAATACACAGCAAGATTTTTTTTTCCTAGCCTCAGTCTCAAAGGAAAAAAAAACACGCAGAAAAGAGCTGTGGAAACGGCTAGGTAACTCTCACGTCTCTACCATCTTTGCAGTAAGACCTGTGAGCGTGTAACAGAATCTGGGTTGCAGCATTTATCTGCTGTGGTTTTCTCTCTTAGTTAAAATTATTTAGATTTCTGCTCTAAACCTCATCAACAGAAAATCAAGAAGAAATCTTAACAGAACCTCCCAAACTTGAAATGGGACCCTCTGCTCTGAGCTTTGACACAGCACGTTTCTACACCTGGCAATGTTTCCTAAGCTAATGACCACCTATCAGGGAAGGAAGAGTGGAATTATTGTAGGTCTTTGGAAATTTCAGCTCAGTTCTTGGAGTGGCAAGACAGACACACGGATTGCTGGGAATCATACAAAAGGAACAGATAGGAAAAAATATTGTGTCACTATGTGAATTTACAGCATGCCTGTACCTCAAGTACAGCATGTCTGAGCACGCCATCATATAAAGACATTGATAGGACCATTGTCGGGGACCAGACGCCAGGACAGGAAGATCTTTTCGTTTGATCCCACGTGGCTGTTCTTGGCATTTGCACCTCTTCTGTGAAGAGACCTGCAGCTCTTTCTTCAGCTGACTGTCCACTTGCCTGTTCTTCCCATGGGTTCACCTTAGCTGTACCCAGGAGTTATGTACATGTGGCTTTCATCCCAGTGTTGTACACGTGGCTTAACTGGCAGGAGGCTCTGCTGACCCTTGGCTCTTTTCGATTCACAGCTCAAGCTGGAGCTTCCTTTCAGCTATCATGCTTTCAAGTGCACCACTCTATGCCTACCCTTACCCTAATAATTGTTACTGGTTTGGTTTCGTTATATTCATTGAATAGAATTTTTATTGTGGAAGAATTTCTACACCTCAACCACCCCAATTTAAGCCTTACTTTACTCATCACAGTTCCATTAGGTTCTTAACAAGGAAAATACTTCTTGCCCTGGTAGTATATAAAGGGTGAAGACAAGCATTACAGGACAACAGGATAACTTTTCCAGTATATACACTGAATTGCTTTGCGTAGAGGCTTGTGCTTTCGATCGAGAACACACACACACTTGTATTCACTGTTTATCAAGTATTTCCAGCATACTGCCCTCGAGGACTCCAAAGCCTTCCCAAGATGTAAATGCTAATCTGAAGCCCATCAACATGCGCAGATACCTTAGGCCATCAGTCACTACACAATCAGCACTGATTGTATTTGCTTTATTACTGCTTGCACAGTAACATCATGAAATCCTTTTACCTTTTAACTAACCTAAGTAATTTTGCATTATCAAGTTTCTACATTTATAATTCATCTCCCCTCTTATTTCATGCGTGAATATATCAAACAGCACAGGACTCAGTAGTGCAAAACCAGAAAGCTGGAATGGGCCATTTTTCCCTCATCTATATTTCTTTTCTTTAAGCAGTTATTAATTGATAACAGAACCCTTCTGTTACCCACAACAGCTTGTTTTCAACAGTCTCTGATAAGGGACCTTATCTTTTCAGGACTGTACTTATGCCACATTAGGCATATCACCATTATCCATGTGTTTCACTGAGTCCATCAAACTCAGCTCCTGAACTGAAGCCTGACTTGCCTCTACAAAAGCAGTACTGTGTGATGGCCGAGAGCCTGCATTTAGAGAGGTGTCTATGAATCGTAATGCCATACCATACATTTTTCAATGTGCACAATGCAGAAGCCAGATCTACTGGCTCACAGACCCTTCTTAAGAACTGGTGTTCTATTTGCCACTTCCATTCCACTGGTTTTAAGGTTGACCAGGTGAGCAATTTCATATTTGAATTCCTTTAAATCACTCGGGTGAATACCAGCCAGTCCTAACAATTATTCTACTGATTTTGTTCCACAGGTGCTTCAATTTGAGACAGTTCCTCAGACTATTCCCCGTAAAGACAGACGCCACTTGGGAATCTCCTGAGAAGTCTCTGAAGTGAGCACCAACACAGACAGTTTAATTATATTTTCTGCTATGGTCTTATCCTCCTTTTTACACTTGGATCACCCATCCGCCCTACACATTCTTGGAGAGGCTTTTGCCTTTAGCAAACTGCTTCTCAAAATCCCTTCGGTCAGTCTCACAGATTAACTAGCCACAACATCCTTTTTCCATATCTGGACACAACTTCCCTTTTGTGAGGATGTACTTTTACCCGTAATGGATTATTTGTTTTTAACCAAGCCAGTTTTCTACATTAGGATTTTTTTTAAATCCTTGTAATACAAGCTCTGCATTTACCATGAGCCACTAAAATGTTTCCAGGCCAGCTGTGAGCTTTTTACCCTTTCACAGTACCATTTACTTCCTAATCAGCCTCCTCATATTTATGTAGTTCCATTCCTAAAAGTTAGAAAAACAAACCCCAAGCCCATGATAATGCTGTTTATATCTTTTTTGTTCCTATGAGGATGTTAAATCTGAGTACGTTATGGTTACTATTACAAAGTGATTTTTACAACAGTTACATTTCTTAGAGCCCCCAAGGGTATATGAAGAATTTTTTCTCCTTTTTCTGGCTCATTGCTCCATGCAAAAGGCATTCACAATTCCTAAAGATTCATGCACTGTGCCTCCCTGTGATATATATCCTGTCAACAGGGGGATAAATGAAACCTCTCATTATTATAGCACGTTCTGCTCTTGCAGCCTTTACAGACTCCAAGTTTCACACAGTCAGATCTTCACCCTTTCTATTTAGGCACGGCATCCCAACCCATAATAAGGTCTCCATGCTGCAGCTAACTTACCTCACTTGACACTCAGCTCTCTATCCCCTACAGCCCACTCTTGCACTAGCGGAGTCTACTCTGCCTTTCCTATAAGCTGTACTCTCATTACTGCATGGTCTCAACAGGTTCATGAGACACCCTAGTATGTCAACAAGTTCATTATAAATAGACATTACAGTTCAAATAGTTTATACACTTCTTTGATTGCTACAGGTCTTCATCTAGTCACTTAGTTTTGCATGCTATGCTTAGATGGGGATTTACTGTCAAGTTTTCCTCTCTGCAGTTTCCCTTCTGAACTTCCATCCTACTGACACTTTCTGATGATTCCATTTCCACAGCATGCATCACTCTGAGCTGCATGTCCTTCCAAACCTATCAAGTTTCTCCCCGTTCCAGTTTTTAAGCTTTCATAACCTTTTCTTAAGAGCCAAAAATTGGATTCCATTTGGATTTAGACAGAGTCCATTCTTCCTGCTTAGCCTTTATTTATTCCAAAAGCTTCCCCAGTTCCTAATAAGCTTAAACCCTCTTTCCCCGGTCTCCAGTGCCTCAACAAGCTTTGAAAATGCTTCTCTGTCTGGTCTACGTACGGTACTGGAAGCATTTCCAAAAAAATACTTCATAAAGATCAGTTCTATTTGTCCTGGCAAGCAGGTCACTACGCAGTTCTCGCTGCCATCAAAGACTCGCTTATCTCTCTATGGTGTATAACCACACTTCCCGCCACTATACCTGCTTTTTGAGCAGGCACCTTACGGACCGCTCTTCGAAGAGGAAGAGGCTACAATGCCATCATCTGACAAAGAGAGCAGTGAATGAGACTGTTAACTTAAGGCCTTCCCAACACAAGACTTTCTTCTATCTTGCCAGCACAGGGGACTGCCAACCTGGAGGCTGGCCTCTTCCCACCACTGTCTACCTTAGCCTGTGCCTCCTCATCAGCCAACCTGGCCCTGTGCTGCCTAAACCACACGCTACCTTCAAAAGCTGATGAAAAGGCATATAATCCTGCACGTGAAATTCAAGGACGCCTGGGAGTAAACACTCTCATACTGAGCTTCCCTCTTCCATTTTGGTTTGCATTAAGGATTTGGCTTCTTGAGAAATTTTTGTTTGTCCCCACCTTTCCTTATTCTTAGTCTGTTTAGTTACAACAGGAAAAGGTTTCCACTTCCACCCTTCAGCACACAGCATCAGAGACATAAACCGTCTTCTGACGGCAGCCACAGAAATCTCAAAAAGAACAGGAGTTAAAAATATGGCCTGGTTAACTGAAGTAGTTTTCTGCAGCGATACGGACGATGTATGAATTAGTACTGGCATGGTACTGGAATCCCTCATCCTCTCCTCCAGCAAAATACACCCAGATTCCAGCAAAGGGCCACAAGTCTTGCACTGTTCAATGTTTCCTCTGATCGTTAACTCTTAGTACTAAGGAGAGTATTTCCCACCTTCTTCAATCAGACATTTTGGGTTTGAGTTTGTCTCAGGTTAACTGTGCAAACAATACGGACAAAGAGCTGCAGTGAGCACAAAGCCAGTCACCCCATGGAAAGCCAGTTATTCTGATATGATACAGGAAATGCAGAAAGGCAAAAGACTGTTGTGTGCCACGTCCCTGGTTTAAACCTGTACAAAACTTGCATCTGTAGGACAACAGTATAAAACTAACACTCGTGGTTCCTTCTGGTAATTCACCTTTTATAGCAGAAGCCTTGCAAAAGCAGTCATCTAATATTCAAAGTTACTACATAATGTATTTCCTGGCATTCACTTACCTGGTAATAGTCACCTAAACCTAGCTGATCAACTCTCTCATCTAATAATAAACCTAAACAATACTACCATTTCTTCTGTGGATTTCAAGCAACAACAGCAATAACCAACACTGATCCACTCCCACAGTGACAAACTCCCCCATTTTTATTTATTTATTTATACACAGAGCAGCCTTTTATTTTTACATAAACTTAACAAAGAAGAACAAGCTTCCCAAATCCAAAACATAAATATTTTCAAGTATACATTTAGTTAAAAATATATAAATACAACTTGATATGAGAACCAAACACATCTAGAGTTCACCACACTTTCTTTTGTGGGCTTTACTACTGAAAACCAGTCAAGTTCAGAAATTTATAACTCGGAGCAGAATGCTCTTTGCTTGCAATTTTGATAAAAATGTGCTAAAGGTGTTTTTGAGATACCGATATTTTGCTTGCAAAGTTTTGAACAAACAGCAAGAGATTTTTATTTTCCAGACAAACTCAATGTTAAACCATTAAAAATAAAGAAACAAGCTTCTGAAAATTCACTACAAATAACAAAATGCTGTGACGTATTTCACAACGCTCGAAAGCCTTTCTCCCAAGACTGAAAAGGTTGCATCCATCTCACACCAGAGCATTCCCAACAAGTTCTCTCATTCAGTTTTCTTCATATAGGACAGAAAACAAATACCTACTTGAAGCGGACCTTCTCATCCATATCCACAGGGGGCTCATGTGTGATGAGGTTGACCAGCTCCTCCATGCAGTGCTGCTGGCAAAGGAAGTCCAGCAGCTTGCGGTTCTGAGCCTTGCACTCCTGTAAGATGTCATCTTCATCCATCAGCTCGTGAAGTGTCACATCTTCTTTATCCAGCAGCTTGTCCACATGTGATGTTGTGTTCAAATCAAACTTCCAGAACATGTTGATGGGACACAACTAGCTGTAATGAAAAAGAATGAGTTAATCCTCCATCTCCGCTATTTATTCCTCCTTTGTAATTCTGAGCAGAATACCTTCATACAGCTGCCAGCCAGCTTGTAACACTCAGTTCAATTCCGTAAACAAAATTAACAACTTTTCACACCAGAAAACGAACACGACTTAGATAATAGCTGTGTAATATCAACAATGGACACGATATATGCATGAATTAACTTTAACTGCAAGTAGCTTGAACTAAAAATCAAAGATTACGTTCATACACAGAAATGCTTTGCTGGATTAGAGTCAAGGCTGGTCACAGATAGGGAAACCACGCTACTGCACTGTAAGTAGTTTGCATTAAAGGGTTTGGGTTTTTTTTTTATTATTTGTATTTCAGAGTCATGCTCATCAGCCAAAACTGCAACAATCAGTGATTTATGTAAGTGGAAGAAAGGCCTCCAATGTATACATAACAGCAAGAGATAAACAGAGAGACCATAATTGGAAAGTATTTAAAACTACTGGACACTGCGAGCGATAACATCATCAGCAAACCCAGAGCCAAACTGCTAATAAATATAAACCTTATGGAACACTAGAATATGCTATTAATCTCATAGACATCATAGAACTGAAAAGCTGTGAGTGGTCTTTTGTGGGGCAGAAGAGTGTATTTTGGTTTTATACATATAAAAGTGTGCACGCACGTGTGTGTGTGTGTGTGCAATCTGCAGCTGTAAGGTCTGCAGCTCCAGAGCTGGGCACCAGCGGGACCATTAACCTCTCCAGGAGAAGCCGAGCACACGGTGTCAGGAACATACAGAGCAGTTCACTGGACCACACCATTAGTAGAAAGTTCCAAAATTCTGAACTCTAAACTTACTGGGGGAAAAAAATACGGCTTAGAGACTAGTGGTTTATATTACCTACAGGGTGTACGGCTGGGCAGCTAAAATTTGGTCTGTAATGTAACGCCCAAATTCTATTCTTGACCGTTCTAAAACAGACGATACTTGCCAATCTCTGCACACTCACCTCTTAACCAGGGTCCGCACATTTTACTACAGCCTGGGATTGGGACTTACAGGTGTTTACCAATAACAGAAATGGCAAAAGGATACTATAAATCAAAGCTAGAAATAGAAACTGAAGGAATGGCCTCCTTTTCCTACACATTCTGGATCTCAAGTCCTCATAAATACTTACTGAAAGGAAACCCTCCTCACCATCACCTTCCTTCAAAGGAAGTTTCACATGGACATTGTATATTATCCCAACTAAATAATAAAAAAAAAATTGATACAGTTCTCTGCCAAAGTGTTAAAACCGAGATACTGCATGTAACAAAGAATGACAAACTATTAAAGACCGACTTGAGCTGGAGCCTAGACCCACAAAAACACAGCAATTGACCTTTCATAAACAGTGATCAAGCCCTGCCCCGGCTGCATTTTTTGCCCCCTCCAAGTCTCCCTGGCAGTGCTCAGGGACCCCCTGCCCGAGCAGGGCTCCCTCAAACCCGCTGGCAATGGCTCAGATCACCCCCTCTGACGTCCCTTCTCTGTATCTGCTGCACTTCGCAGGAGTCTTCAGCATGACCAGAATCATACGTTGTATTTCAGATGAGGTTTCACTATTGCCATGTTATATTAGTAAGAATATTCCCCTTCAAACAATTTTTGCTAAATATAGAGCATTGCACTTTCTATTACTCATTTTCATCCCACTCCTACCTCTAACGCTTTCTTTCCTTTTTTGTTATCCTGATTTTTCTCTGTGAGCTCTCTTAATTATCTTTTTCCAGTTAGCTTTCCCAATACACTTCAGCTTTTATAATAGTCATTAATTATATCAAAATAAGACAGTGTTCAGACTATCCCTAAGAAACTCTTCCAGTGGTCTTCCTCTTGCTTAGTATTTTCTCTTATAATTCTGCCCTTTACCATCTCACCTCATGATCTGGCTAATTCACCATGATTCTTCAATGAGCCATAACTTTTCACAATCCTGCTCTGGCTATCATACCAAATATCTTAACGATCTCCACAAAGAAACAAGATTTACTGAATTTCTTTTATTTAGAGTATCAGCTGCCAAAGAAAGAGCTCAGATTAGTTTGGCACAATTTAAATTACTGATTTTCATTTCATTTTTCATTGTCGTATTTTTTTACTGTTCCCTACAGGGAGCAAATAAGCAATAATCTTCATTCTTCCCCAGTAACACTTTCAGTATCTTCAGAGAGTACAAGATAACTCCAATTCCTCATGAGTAGACGTTTGTACTTCAAAAAGCAGCTAAGTCATTTAACTATCTCAGAATCTGAGTACAGCCTTTCATTTCTGGCTCCTGTTTAGTGTTTCGGACTAAATTCTTCCCCAGACACTGCCTCATCCTCACTCAAACCCCATGGCTCTGCTACATGTACAGAAGCCTAACGAAAGGAAAAAAACCAGCTTCTGAAGGAAGGAGCCCTGTGCAGAAGAGCCGGTCAACTCCTGGGTCTGTATGCTACGCAGAAGATCAGGTGCAATGAGAGACCATGAAGAGATGGCGTCGTGTTGTAGGCTATGGGGATCAAAGATGGTTTCAAGAAATAAGCAATCATTAATGTTAAAGAAAATAAGAGAATAACTGTTATTCCCCATTGACAAAGGTGGTAAGCATAGCTCAAACAAGATAAACGTTCCGTGTAATGATACCATTAAGCTAAAACACATTTTATAAAATGAAGTAAATTGGATGAGAGATGTCAATGTGCTGCATTCCCAGATTATTTGTATGTAAGCATGTGATTTTATACAACAGGACCACAACGCTTTTTTTAACCTAACCCACATTACAATTTCCGCAGCAGCAGGAACACTTGCTCCAACCATTCATTTTGCTTTTTCCAGCATCCAAAAATGTTACCAGGCCTGATCTTTTGCCAGTTCCACTGCTTGCATAACTACATCTAAGACAGAATTCTGAAATTATCCTTTTTAAAAAAAACAAACAGAAAACAACACTTTTTTCCTCCAGGAAGGTTTACTGAAGAAGGGGGGCACTGCTTTCCAGTTACCACAGCTGGGCAATTTAAAAGGCTAAAGACCCAAATTTTGTAATTACATGTTTAAATATCTGGGTCCCTTGCAGTGTATCTTTCACACTGATCCTCCAACTGAAGGGTTTATAAGAACTACTAAATGAAACACATTAATAGAAACATTACTTTTTTAATTTATTTTTACCAATTAAGTTATTGACATGCATTTTCTGCCCTACCTCAGTTCCAGGATTCTTCACGTGTGCATGTATGTGTCTAAGGATCTCTTAAAAAAAAAAAGATTACCTTACAAAATTAAGGCTATTTTTTTCTTGGAATAGCTCTGTTACCCAGGATATTTGATAACAAATTCTGTGGAGATCCACTCAGCGCTTCAAAATTTGTCACAGGTAACTTTTCTATTTCAGAGAGCTTTTTTCCATGTCAACATAATTCTTTCTTTTAACATCTTTATCTAAGAGATTTAGAAGAAATCAAGAAAATCTTTACAAGTTTGTCTTTCGTTACACAGCACTGCCGATACGTTGAAGCCCTATTTGAATGTGTTGGCGTTGCAGGACTTGATTATAAAGGGAACATTTAAGCAATGAACTGTAAGGCCATCCAAAGTACAGCCTCCTTACAGCTTTGTCTTCCCGCAGCCCTCCTGTACGCCACGTTTACTCGCTGGCTTTGGACTTTCAGCATTTTGAGGTAGAGCTCACATACACGTTATGGGGATGCATATGGCCTCGAGCCCAGCAGAAACAGAACTGAGATCCTGATCAAGCATCCCATCTAGAAGACCACTTTATACGTACAAAGTTCCTTTTAAACATCAGGTGTCAACCACTTCTAGTCAAACCTACAGCACCATGTTTCTTGTAAAGCGACCTGTGAACATCAAGGCTACAGGCTTTATTCGTGATGGGCCCAAGCTCAGAGTTACAGGGAGGAAAGTGGGGGGAAGCTGTCCAAAACAAAAGCGTACCCAGACCTCCCCATGGCCCATCCACTGCCACTTCCTAACAATCTTCCAAACTGCCAGGTTAATTAGTTTAGGTTGATCCTAGTCTTTTGGGAACTAGCCCCCCCCCCAAAAAAATAGCACAAAATATGGCAGAGAGAAGCAGTTTCTAATTTGAGCTGTTTAAATCAATAGTATATTGAATTTTTTTTTTAAAAAAGTTAACATTTAGCATTACAGCACCAAGCAAGAGCTTCTGCATCCATCCATTCAGCTACTGAATATGCACTCAAGTAACTGAATTTCTGAGTTAGGAACAGACATCTGAATTTTCAACCTACGTGACATTTCTGTGACAGTAATGCTGTTTGGCTGTATAGTGTGTTCATTACAAACTGTTCTTCAGATATTTTTAACTAACTATGCTTAGTTATAAATTCACCGAGTAAAAAGCTGGCATAAAAGGCCTTAAATTAAGAATGTTTGGGTGCACAGTTAACCCAAATACATATATATTCCATACATAAATGCGGAATACACACGTAAATCTCACTTTTCAAATTCAAACCCATTACAAATCTGTCAATTCTACAGTTTTTCAAAGCTTTTTATATATCTACAGGAAAAGCTGCCCGATCTCTAGGAGACCCACTGATAAGCTGTCCTTAGGAAAGGAATCCAGCTCTTTTCTCAGCACAGAGCAGGCAGATCCCCCTTCCCAACCTCCTTCTTAAAACAAAGGTTGAGGAGAACTGCTGAGGAGTTTGGCCTCTCACGGTCCTCGCTGGCGGAACCGGGCCTCTGGAAGACACTGATGCAGTTCCCAGTGTCCTGGGACTGGGTGCAGCTGCAGCCAACAGGGAAAGGAGGCTGCCCTGCAGCAGTTGCTCTCCCACCACGTTGCCTGAAGCACATGCAGCAACATGAGACTCTTCCTCTTTGCCCTCACTCCAGCCAAAAAAAGCTCTTTTAGCTACAGTGATCTTATAGGCTACTCAGTAAAATGCAGCAAGTGAGATTT